ATCCTGACGGGCCAAAGCTGCCTAGTCCCAAACAGTCCTTTATATAAACAATACCTATTATTCCCATAATTATAAATATTAATTTATAACTTAAATTTATAATTTTAATTATTTTAATTAATAAGTTTTAAGAAAAATATTATAAGGTTCTTAATTTAAAAATTATTAATTATAATTATTATTAAATAAAAATAATAAAATTTTTAATTATTAAATTTTATATTATTATTTTAATAAAACCCTTATATATATAATTAATTTTAATAATTAATATAATAATTATTTAATTTTATTTAATTTAAAGCTAGCTAATAAAGAAGGCTAGTTTTAACCCACGAATCTTAATGCCTAAGGCATTTACTATAGTTTCTACCATAAATTCACCATAAATTGCCATTCCCTAATAAATTCACCATAAATTCACCATAGGACCGTCCAACCATAGTACTTCTACCGTAGGTTGAATCTGACAAATTCTACTGCAAGGGCTGCCTGTTCTGGCAATTCCTCGCCCTGCACCGCCCGCCGTTCGCACGGCTCGCTCCCTGCGGAACGCCATCCTGTTGCATACCGCCCCGAGCGCCCAATGTACCTCCACGCAATCAATGTACTTACTACACCACTAAATCTGCCCACGACTTTTGCAGTGCCGTCCGGGCGTAGGTCTTGCAATTAAGGCACAATGCAGAGCTCAGGTTAGCTGTCAATCTCTAGGTACTTCACGCCTTTTTCTCGGCCGACCATATTCTTCTCTTAAGCATGAATCGTCTGAGTCTTCCCTAATCATATCGCAATGCCTTTTCCTTGGCCGACCGCATTCCTCTCCTGAGCTTGAGCATAGATTGTCTGCACAACCATCCGAGTCAGATTCCTCACTATCAACATTGATCACATTTAAACCTGCTTCTCTTAGCCGCTTAGCCTCCTGGGGATCTATGAAATACATAGAACTAAGTCGATATACTCTCTCCTGGCTATGCTTCTGATCGCTGGAGAGAGGAGTGATGACCTGCTCAGTAAGTAGTGGGAGGCATGCACCTCCTGGGACGCCATTGCCCTATTAATCCCCCGGTCCGTCTGCTGGCGAAAGGAATTTCTTTGCAGGATCTACAGCTATAGGCTCTCCTATGCTTAATTATATGGCCAAAGTAACTGCTGGTTTACCACGCAGGAAAGCTCTTACCTGCTTTTTTGCAGCTATATTCTTAATACAGCATATATTATGGTAATGTTGCAGCGCCTTATAGCTAATGTCTTTAAATAAATGCGCTTTAATGCCGTAATATTTAATAATTATATTATAAGGCATAAATACATAAATATAATATATAATTAAATTAATTAAAAGGAAATATATATTAAAATATTAATATAAATAGCTTATTAATAAAAGTTTATTTATTAAATATTATATATATTTCCATCTTTTTTTAAGTTAAAAAATTATTTATTAATATAATGCTTTAATTATAATATAAATAAACATTTTAATAAATTTATAAAATAATATATATAACTTAAATAATAAAGCTTATATTAAACTTTCATTATATATTACCTTATTTATTAATTATTTAATAAAGATTCCCATTAAAAATATTTAATTTTTTAAATTTATTAATAATAAAACATGTTTTTTTAATAAATATAATAACTTAAATAAATATATCTTTATAATTAAAATAATTATTATTATTTTTAATTAATAATTAATTATAATTTAAGGATATAAAAAAGGGTTTTTATTTCGCTTTTTTATAAGTAAGAAATATAAATCTTTTTATTATTATAATTAATTAACTGCTTATATATAAATATTTATATATATTAGCTAAGAAACTTAAAAGCTGCTTAAATTATAATAATATATTTATTAAAGAGTGTTTTATAAAGTTATTATAATTTAAGTTATAAGAAATAAAGTGGTAAGTAGCTTGCTGCCTTTAAAGTTGTGACAGTATTTATGTATTTTGTATTTTAAAATATAAAATATAAAAATACATGTATTTATATTTATATTTAAATACTGTATTTATATTTATATTTATATTTTAAAAGGCCTTGTATTTTATATTTATATTTGTATTTATATTTATATTTTTAAAAATTTTAATTTATATTTTATATTTTAAATATAAAATATAAATACAAATACAAATTTCAATTTAAATCTTATTATTTAAAAGAAAAGAGACATAATTAAATCATACTTAATTTAAGCTTTCTAAATATATTTTTATTTTATTTATATTTAATTTTATTAAAAAGCTATAAATAATTTAAAAATAAAAGACTTAAGGTAAAAAAACTTAGATAAGAAGATAAGGTTTAGATAAGAAGATAAATTTTTTTTTAAAAAAGTACCTATATATTATAGCTAATATCTCTTTAATAGAAAAAGATATAAAAATAAAAAAAAATATACTTATATAGCTAATTTTAAGTTTATTTTAAAAGATTTTTAAATAAATTTAATTAATTACTTTATATATATAATGTATTTTGTATTTATATTTTATATTCTGTATTTAAAATACATGTATTTGTATTTGTATTTGTATTTTTGTATTTGTGTTAGACCCACCTGAAGCCATAGGGACTAAATTGCTTAATAGTTTAGTTTGGATAGGCTGGCGCAACCGTTTTGCTACGGCATTCCTAACAAATGGTAGCTATAACGGTTATCTTAGCTGGTAGCTTGGCTTATTGCTACCCACGCTAAGGTCACAAGTTTAATTCCCGCTATGCATGGGTTTTAAGCGCCGCTGAGATAATGCAACGGGAAGCACGTTGCATTTATAGCGCGGAGACTAGGGTTTAACTTTCGTTTAGTAGTTATTTAGCGTTGCCAGTGGGAAAACATAAACGATAGGCCGTGTTTAAGGCGCGGCGGCGCTAAATTAGCGGTACCTGGGACGCCCTATTATAGCTTATGTGAACGTAAGTTACTTTATCCGCTGGTGGCATTTATTAAACCTACTTAAAGCCATAGGGACTAAATTGCTTAATAATCCAGTCTGGATAGGCTGGCGCAACCGTTTTGCTGCGGCATTCCTAACAATTTGTATTTGTATTTTGTATTTTATAAATTTTTTGTATTTGTATTTATATTTGTATTTTTAAAATTTTATGTATCTGTATCTGTATCTGTATTTTGTATTTTGTATTTTTTGTATTTTCACAACTCTAGCTGCCTTAGCAGTAAGGTTGGGAATGCTGCAAAGTTATTTTTCTTAAGCAAAAGGATAAGCCCCTTATTAATAGGCATTAAAGCCGGCCGTTAAGTATTATTTTAAAAAGCAAAAGATACATTAAGCTTATGCTTAATGTTTACTATAATTACGAAGTTAGCTTATTAATAAAAGCCGGTAAAACGGCTTATAATATAGCTATTAAGAATTTTAATATTTCAGCTAATTTCTCGTTAATTAGTAGTAATGCCAGCCATAGCGAAATGTTAATGGAGAGGTTGATCCGATTATTAGTGGATAGACTGTAGTCGGTAGGAGACGACATGTGGTCGTCGTTAAATGTGGATTTGTTAGCTTATTTGTAGTGCTGTTGCCAGGGTGATGATGCAGCGTCTGGGGAACTCCCTGAGCTCCCCTCCCTGACTCCCCTGATGCTGATCCCCATGCCGGGTCTAGCCTGGCCGGCCCCCGCAGTGGCGATCACGTGTTTTCGCGAGTCCCGGTTTCCCAGCCTCCTTGGTTTCTTACAAAGTTGGTCTTGCATTCGCGTTCACACTTCTCCACTTCCTCGTCCTTACCATCTACACCCATTCAGGCTCTCCACTCAAACCCATCCGTACACCTCCCAACACCATTCATTTATTGCCTTCGTTGACTCTGGACTGACTCTGGACTACTGCATCGCACTCCAGCAGTAGGTGTCAACTTGGTGCCTGTCAGCCGCACCCAGTACCAAGCTACAGCACACGGGACGGGTCACGGCCCTTCCTGTGCTGGGGCTGGGGGTCAGACTGGTCGCTTGAAGTTGTAGCCAGAGCCTGTCAGTCAACGAGCAACACTGCTCGTTGGCTATGCTCTGCTGCAGTGCAAAGGACCGTCCCGCCTAGCGGAGATCTCACCTCGTCCGCACTCCAGTTGTCCCCAGAGCGGCAGGGGCTTCTTTGCTCGCTGCCCTTCTCATTCTTTCCAAGCTTTCGTCCTCCCTGCGGTCCAGCTCTGCCCAAATTTCCATGCACAGCACTGCCGCCCCCGCCTGCCCACGAGCTCCGAGTTCAGCAACTTAGATATCGTAGAGTCAAGGCTGCTCTTCGTTTCTTCCATCGCCCTTAGCGAACAAAAAGCCTGGGAGGGTGGGATATTCCGTGTACACTATCTACACGGGGGACTCATTTTCGCTACTCTCGAACCATACTGTCACACAGTGACAAAAGATTGATGCTAACCACGACCAGGCCATCTCATACACTATGGCGGAACACACACAAGCGCCGCCGACACGTATTGAAATCCGTGCTGATCCGATCGCCGTCGAAAGACCTACAAACTCGCCCCGCCTCTCGCATCCCCTGTACACTCAACTTGTTCTTCGACTCCAAGTCAAAGACTGCATTCTTGAGATTCCGGTTGTCTTTCGGGACGGACCAGCAGGAAGACCAGTCTGTATATCTTTTGGTCTGGCCCGAGCAGATCACCTCGGTCACTGTCGAGGACGATGAAGTTACACAGGATCCTGAAATCTCTCGGCTCTGCAACACCTTCCGTCGCGTCGTCCGTCTGCACATCGAGCTAAGCAGGGCTGGTTCAGTCGTCGGTCCTCAGACATGGCCGCCATCGCCGTCAACGGCGGCGAGACTTGATTCTCAAGCTTGCCCCAATCTCCAAGATATCCAATGGCTGGGTGAGCAGATCCGGCTCACAATATATATATCTTGCCGGACTGTTTCCATGGTGCAGTTACAAGAACTTTGCACCGCTCTATCCACACCTGGTCTCCTGAATGCCAGCACTCTTCACAAAGATCTTGCTCGCATGTACGGAGGACAGGGTGGCAAGATAATTGAGAACTTCAGCTTGGCCGTCGGAGATGATCGCAATGTCGGTGACGAGAACGATATTTCGACAGAGTCTGGCAGCCCTCCACCATACGACGAGGCCGCCGCAGGGCCTTCCGCAGGGCCCGCCGGACCTTCACCAGGCCCGGAGCAGCGTCGTTTTGACAAACCCTCCATGAAGCGAAGGCGGCCAAGTTCGAGCCCAGAGTCGGAAGTAGCGCTGGCTGGTATCCGTGACCCGCTAAGCTTTTTCGAGGGCCTCTGCAACAAGATTTGGGAGGAGCGGCAGGCAGGCTTCCGAGAGGAGGTCTTTGCCGAGCTTAGTAGAATAGAGGCTCAGATCACGCGTACTGTTGAGGAGCGGGTAAGCCAGCTGCGGGACGAGCTGACTGATCAGATGGAGCAGGCTGATGGGAATGCAGTCGTTGCAGCCAGTGACCTTTTAGATGAAGCCCTTGATGACAAGATGACTAGCATAAGGGTTGAGTTGGAGGATTTCATCAGGGATGAGCTGCGTGATGTTGAGACAAGTATCTGGGACCAGCTTGAGGCTGGGACGTGGGAGGCATCTTTCATGCGGCGCCCGGAGCACCATTGAGCTTGAACATGTATCTGGATTTAGGGGTATCAAAAGTGTGTACCTATCTGGATTTGGGAATATCAAAAGTGTGTACCTTTGCTAATCATCGAATGTCTTTCCGCCGAGCAACGTCCAGGCGCGCGAGACGGAGCGTCTCTCAAGCAACCCCGAGATCACAATCAAAAGGCTCCAGACAAGACGCAAATCGTCTCAATGGCCAAGCTGTGGCAAGAGATGATCAGCTGACCCTGTCGCAGCTCAACACGGCTGACGCGTCGACCGTGGACTCCTTAGGACTAGATATTCACGATAGGCCAAGCAGGCTGAGTATAGCAGGGCATGATGCTGCAGTTTCATGCCAGACACAGAGCTCTATATCACAAGAAAAGAGGACGTAATGAACAAAATAGGTAGTGAGACATCTTGGCTAGTCTAGATACTATTGATATCTTCCTGCAGTGCGATATCTTCTACAGATGATGGGCTATCCTTAACAGACATACCTTCTGTTGTGTAGACACCGTCGCCATTGTCATTGCCAACACCATCATCGTAGCACTTGTGGTCAGGAATTGTAGAGGAATCGCTCCCAAATGATACAGACAGGTCAGGCACAGAGCCCCTAGGCGAGTTGCTGTTGCTGATGTTCTCTCCGTGTCTCCTGCGGCTACGTCTGCGGCCACGAGGTAACTCCTCTACTCCCACATCAGCATATCCAGAGAACTGTGGCGAGAGGTTGCTCTCCGCCACAGCTTCTCGCCGGCGCGTCGCCCAGTCGAGCAGCCGTTCCGCCTCCTCGTCGAGTGGGAAGACCACTGGTGATGACCGCCGCCGCTTGCGCCACAGATGGTCGTCCAACTCGTCAGCATCGTCGTTACATCCAATGTAATCTTTAGCCTGGGACATTTGTGAGGCCGATCTCTTCCGTGAAACACTTCGGCTTTGCACCGCCAGACTCGAGTTACTTTCCCACTTATATTCGAACGTAGCTGCTTCGGATGACAATGCTGCCGTTGCTGACACATTACCTTGCTGTCCCTTCACACGTATTGTGACTAAACGCTTTTTCTCAAGGAATGTTCGCAATAGAGGGAAAATACTCCAGGCAAAGCGGGCAAAAAGGTATTCCCGAGAGCTTTTATACTGCCTTGAAAACTCGTTGCCAATGTCCTGGAAACATAACGCCCGATTATGGTATAGTGGGATGAGTTCTAGTTGTGCTCCGGGAATATCTGGTGTATGAACAGCTAGTGCGTAACGTGTAGCTTGTGATGCTGAAGTTGTGCCTGAGGTCGAAATCGAGGTCGAGGTCAAGGTCGAGGTCGGTGGTAATGGTGTGATGAAAACAGGTTTGGGCACGATGGTCAAGTGAGCGGAGTCGAATAGGGTATGGAGGTCAGCACGAAGGGCAATCTTGTTGAATGGCTGATCGATTGGAAGAATCGCTGTGGTACTTCCATAGCGTACCATATCGTTGTCAAGGAACCAATCCTTATATCTTGAATGGACAAGATGGGCCATTTCTAGCCCACCACGGTGTGCAGAAATTGCGCATGATCTTGTTATAGGCTGCAGAGCGCGGAGTCGCTCAGTAGTGGAGTTCGAGATTGATGTTGGGGTTGAGGGCGAGGTCGACGTGCGTTGATGTAGCGCTGATAAAGGAGGGTCGTGGTCCTTCATCCACAGAGCGGGCAGTTGCCCATGAGGGAACCGCCAGTTTTCGAAATTAGGGACGATGGGATAGGGCTTTTGTTTTCGCGCAGACGTGGTGCGTTCTTCCTGTCGCCTTCCCTCCGCCACAGGTGTCGGTATTGTCGATACGAGCTCGCGTGCCTCGACTGGTGTGCTAGACGCCTGGGGCACTTGTGCCCAATATTCACCGGCTGGGAGGATATTGTCGGAGTGCCAATCGTCATCAACGCGACGAGTTCCCTCTCGGTTATAGGACAAGTAAATGTCAAATGCGTCGTCAGCGATGATGCTACAGATGGTTAGGACGGTCCCGTAGTGCAGACCGACTGAGACCTCAACCTCTTCGGCTGCTGTCTCGCCCTGGCCTGTCGGCGAACTCGACGGACTCGGAAGCGGGTCGACCGCGGGGATAGTGATCAAAACGTCAACAGGGGGAGGGTAGTCGGGGTGCTTGATGCGAACGACCGGCTGGCGACCATTGGCGTCAAGTCGTGGAAGCGGGTGCGGGTGTGTCCCCTCTGCCGGCGGTGGTAAAGGCGGCGGGCGGATGAGTTGCATCTCATCTCTGGCCAGGCTTCAAGATGTTGATCAGGTCTATTTGGCCTGTCGGTCCAGCAGTGTAAATCAGGAGCGCTGGTTTAAGTGTCAAGAAGCACGTCATGACTGAAATGCAGCACGACGGCAACGGTAGTACGCAAGCAAGCCCTCTGAGAAATTCTTGATGTTGCGCACCAGCTGGGATGAACTAGATCTGCACAGCACTCTTTATTCATGATAAGAAGATTGCATGCACACAACTTGTTCCATTTTTTAATTGTCTGCACATGATTCTAGGCTCGTGGGGAAACAAGTGGGCTGGCACGCGCTCTTGTGCGCTCGTGCGCCATGCCTTGCGTATCACCTACTTGAACTTCCTAGAGGACACCCCGTGAACAAGCTCTGCATGATTCTGAAGGTGTTTCCTGCTAGTCAATAGCACCAAGCAGGGGGTATAGTTAGTGGTATTATCCGGATGCATATGCTTTAAGTGCCCAGTAAAGTATTAAGCAAGGGTGCTCCAGTTATGAAACTTATGGCCCAACTTATGAAAGATAGGGTCCTTAGGTAATAATATAAGAGCCCTTGCCATATAAATAAAACAGGATTATATATTGCCATACCCCATGGTATAAATAAAGATTAAATTCCATAGCTTTATATATTAAACACCTGGCAGCTCTTTAATTTTTAACGGCACTTAAAGTTTCTTCTTAGTTTAAATAAGCTTTAAGTTACTAGGCTCTTTAATATAATAATAAGTAATAATTGCATTAATAATAATTATGCACTGCTAAGCCATAGCCTTTAAGTTATTATTTAATAAAGTTATAATAGCATTTATTATACGCTGTTAAGCTAGCGTTATTAAGTAAATATTATTATTATAAAATAATCTTTTAAAGTTAAAAATATATAAAATTAAAATATAAATATAAATATTGTTGGCTGGGTTAACGTACGTTGGTTAATAGCAGACTGGTTGTATTTAAATCGGCTATATAGAAGGAAGGAGGGTTGCAGCCATAGGCTGCAGAACCTCCCTCTGGCTATAGACTATCTAGGGGTGGTCACGTGCTGCCGCACATAACCCTTGCCTATCGATGCTTTAATGCTAATTACCCATAATACCTATTATAACTAATACTGCTATCCCCTTATAATACATCCATAACTATATTAGCAATCTTTAATTAAGTAATTAATATATTTCTTTAAAAAGTATACAAGAAAAAAAAGTTAAATTAAATTTAAAGCCATTAAATTTAAATTTATTAATTAATTAAATTAATTAAAGATATATGCTTATTTAATTATACTAAATACTTATAAAAGGCAAGCATATAAAAAAGCTTAAGTTATTATTAAGGGGTTAAAGATTAATCATTTTATTAAAATATATAATTAATAAATAAAGATTATTTTAATAATTATACATAATAAATTGCCTTAATTACATTAATTAATAAAGCATAAATCATTACTTTTATTATATAAATATTTTATTTATAATGCATTTTATAAACTTATGCTTTTACTACTTATAACGCTTGAATTAAATAAGGATTAAATTAAATCCTTAAATTATTAATATTATTATTTAATCTTTAGCTTATAATATACCTTAATTTAATTTAACTTAAGCTTAACTATGCTTAATTTCCATAATTAAATAAAGATTAATTAATTATAGAAAAAGGATAAGCAAAATAAGTTATAAAGGTTAATAAATAAGGTATTTAAATAAAGGAAAGTAATTAAGTGCAAGGAATTATTAAGAAATTATTTAATATTAATTAAGTTAATAAATAAAAATATATATAAGATTAGTATATAAGTATTAAATTATAAAATTTAACTAAAAATGCTTATTAAATATAAGCTAATAACTTAAGTGCTTATAAAATAATAATAACCCTTATTACCTAAACTCTTAATAAATAAGCATTATTATAAAAATCTTAGCTATAAGGTTTACCTTTAAAAGGAAAGTAATTTTAAATATAAGCTATATTATATTATTTCTTAAGGTAATTTATAATTAATTAATAAAAGGAAAATTTAAACTTTTATTAATTTTATATACTTTTGCTAAATAAAAGCAAAGATTAAGTTACTTTAGCAGTCTTTTCTTTATAACCTTATTTATAATTAACTTAACTTATTAACTTTTATTAACTTTTATTTAAACCTTTTCTTTAATAATAAGTAATACGCTAAGCCTTAATATACCTTTTCTTCTTACTTAAGTAAATAATTATCCTTAATTAATATATTTTTATATCTTAATTATAATCTTATTAATACTTATAAGCTGCTTAAGAGTTTTATTTAATATACTTTTTATAAAGGCATTTACTAAATTATAATTATTTATAATTCATTAAATCTTAAAGATTTTACATTTTTTATATAATTATTAAAGTATTATTAAGTTAATTATAAAGCATTTCTCTTTAATTATATTAAGCTTAATTAAGCACTTATATAAAGAGTATAAATCTATATAAATTATAAAAGGAATAATATTAATGCTAAGATAAGTAATAATTTAATATAAAGTAACTATTAAAATAATACTTATATTAAATTTATAAATTATATTATAAATCTTAAAAGCTAAAATGCTTTTAATAACTTTTTTATATTTAATAAAGAATTAGTAAATAATATTATTATAAATATTTAACTTTATAAAGCTATTACCTTAAGTTTTATTAATAAAAGTAATAATAAAGCTTATTTAAAAGCTAAGATTTTAATTATTAGCAAAAAAACTATTAATAAAGATAAGTAGTTTAGCTATAATTAAGTTAAGTAGCATATATTATATATTGCATTTAAAATAATTAACTTATTATTAAAGCCTTTTATTAAGCTTAATATAATCTTTTTTACTTAAATTAATAATTTAAGCAGCTATAAATAGGTTAAACGTAGCTTTTAATTAATAAATAAAAGCTAAGTAAGCATTGCAAGCCTATTACTTAGCATATTATTATCCTTAATTAGGAAAGGTAGTTTAAATAAGGGCAATCTTTATGCCTTAGCTTTTTTAATATATATTAATAATACCATTCTTTATAATAATAATCTTTATGCTATTAAAGTTAAGTATTATTTTAAGGGTAAGTATTATTTTTAGCTTATATTAAATATTTATCTTTTTAATTTTTTTTTCCTTTATTATTAAGAATATTAAAGTAATAGTAAAGAAAGTATTATTTATTTATATAGCTATAATGCTAAAGTTATTTATATTATTATTTAAAATAAGGAAGCATAGGTTATAAGTAGAAATAATTATATTTAATTCCTTATAATAATATTTATAATATATTATTTATTAATATATATTAAATTTAATAATATTATATAAAAATTTAATAATATATATAATAATATTAAAGGGATACTTATTATAAATCTTTAATAATAACCTTATAAGTATTATATATTTAAGCTTTAATTTTAATTATAAATAAGCTTAAATAATATTTTAAAGCTTAATATATATTCTTTATTAAATAAGAAATAATATTAAAGTAATTAAAAATTATTAGCTTAATTATTAAATAATAAGGGATTAAGTAAGAATTTCTTTCTTATTATAATTATTATAATTAACTATTATAAGGCATAACTTTTTATAAGGCTTTTTAATTTTACCCTTAATTTTATATATTATTTAAGATTTAAAAAGTTATATATTGCTATATATTTTATTATTATAAAGTATAAACTTAAAGACATTATATTTAATTAAGTTTAATACTTCCTTATAATTAAATTCCTTAAATAAATATTTAAGTATAGTAATTATATTATTTTATTAAAGCTTTAATGTAAGTTTATAATTATCTTTTTTGCATTAAGTAATAAATATTTAATTAGGGAATGCTTAAATAATAAATATTTATAATAAAAATATTTTAATAAAAGTTTTTAATTTATTTTTTATTTTTAAAGGTTATCCTTATTGCCTTAGTTTTAAAGGATTTAATTGCATATTTAAAAAATTTAACTTAAAGTATATAATATATTATAAATTATTATTTAATTATAAAGTTTAAATTATAATATCCTTTATTTTATTATAATAATATAGCTATATTATTATAAATTAAAAGATTATTAAGCTATTTAAAAGATTTAAAGTAAGGTTATAATTATTAATAATAAAAATCTTATATAAGCCTTGCTATTTATCTTTTTTTTATTATACTTTTATATTACTTTATAATAATAAATTAAGAGTTTTTATAATATTAAACTTATTATAAATATTAAAAATTATATTTATTTATTACTTAATGTTTATTTTCTTTAAAAACTTTATTATTATTTTAATAGTTTTAGCTTGCTTTTATATTAAAGGAGTAAAAGCTAAGTTTTTTATAAGGCATAAATAAGCCTTAAAGATAAGTAATATAAATATAATACCTTAAGGGTTATAAGTATTATTAATAGCTTTTATTATTATTTAAAGAATAGCTTTTTTTATATAAATTATAATTAACTTAGCATATAAGATATTAAATGCTTATTAAAAAGGAGCATAATAGCGTTTAACTTTGCTAATAAATTAATAAGCTTTTATTAAAACTTATTTATAAGCAATTTTTATTACTTATATTATTTTTTAAAACTTAATAAATATAAAGTTTATATTAGCATTATAAAGAATTTAATTAAAGAAATTAAGATAAGTATTAATTTAATACTTATAAAATGCTTTTTATATATTTTTAATTAAAAGTAACTTAAGAAATTAAGCTGCTTAAAATATTATTACTAAATTAATAATATAAAGAATGAGCTTATTTTTAAAAAGATATATAATATTAATAATAATTTTATAATTAAAGTTATAATTATTTTTTAAAGTAAACTTAAATCTTTATAAAGCGGAATTATAAAGTTAATAATAATAATAAAACCTTATAATAATCTTTAAAGTTTTTATCTTTATATTATATTTAATATTCTTTAATAAGTAATTAAGATATTTAATTAATAAA